GCCGCGCCATGGCGGAGACCAAGATCATCTATCACATGGATGAGGAGGAGACGCCGTACCTGGTCAAGCTGCCCGTGGCGCCCGAGCGCGTCACTCTGGCCGACTTCAAGAATGTGCTCAGCAACCGGCCCGTGCACGCTTACAAATTCTTCTTCAAGTCCATGGACCAGGACTTCGGGTCAGTGGGCCGTGGGGCCTGTGCGCCAGGACGGGTGTCCGCACCTGTCCGCACCGGGGCAGGGCCTTGGGGAATCTTGGGGCTGTGACTGGGGCAGTGCCTCCGCTCCCTGGGGTTGCCGTGAGTCCCATCTGTCTGTGGCCTGAGCTGGGAACGAATGATTGTCCCTGACTGCCTGTCCAGGAGCCTGAGAGTGCTGGCCAGTGTGCGGGAGAGGGTCCTCGTTTCTGTCCCCACTCTGGACCTGGGCCTGTGTGCCTGAGTGTGTTTGACTTTCAGGTGGTCAAGGTCCGTGGCCCAGAGTGAGCTGACGTCCTACCTTGGCACTTGTCAGACTCAGGATCCCACTGCCCCCCTTCCGTGGAAGGCAGGTGCTTAGAGCTGGCCTGGAGGGCTTGTGATTCATGGGGCCCCGGGGTCACAGGAGTGGAGGGGTGGGGGGAGGAGAGGGGCAGTATCCCAGCTGCCCAGTAGGTCCTCTGTAGTTAGCATGGGGGAAATGAGGTACTCTGGGACAGACACAGATATGTCTGTTGGGGTCTGCAGAGGTTTCCAGAGGCTCAAGGCAGCCTCTCTCTGGACCCCTTCTCCAGGGTCCTGAGGATAGAGCAGAGATCAAGGGTCACTGGGCACCCTGGATTGTCACTCCACCTGCCCCTGCCTGAGTGTTGCCGTTTGTTGGGTCTCTATCCCTGTTGAGCCACATAGTACTTGGGTTCCTGGGAGCAGCCTAGGCCATCTGCTGACTCCAGGCAGCCTCTGGGTCAGTGTCCCCATGTCCAGCCTTAGTGGTGGTTGTCTTGGCTGAGGGGACTTCCCGCTTGCACTGGGCTGGGCTTCTGGAACTGTGAGCGGGAGGCTGGCTGTCCACTTGAAGCTCTATCCGAGGCCTGACCTAGCACAGCCATGGGTAACCTGAGTCCCCAGCTCAGCAGTGCTGGGGGGTGGGGTACTCAGAGGCCTCACGGGCTAAGCAGGTGGGCCTGGCCGCCCTCAGGCAGCCTGTGTCCTTGTGTGCGACTGTGTCTCGGGACTTTGACATTGAGGCCATTTCCTGGATTCTCTGGTTTGCATGGATACTGGATAGCCCCAGGGCAGGTCACGCTGGGGCCATTCTGCAGTTCTCAGGGGGCCTGAGGTACATTTGGACAACTAGACTCTCTTGGGCACCACCACCACTGGCGAGAGGCAGAGAGTGAGGGCGTGTTCTTAGCAGTCCTGGCTGGGCTGGGGCAGCGGCCCTACCATGCGAGGGGTAGCCTGGAATCAGGGGCTGTGAGGAACACCCTGGTGAGCCTCCTGCCCCAACCTTCCTTCCCACTGTGGGCCAGGGCCTGAGTTCCCAGAGCCTCATGTTCCTGGCCACAGCTGGACACCTAGTAAGGGAAAGGGGAGTCTGAGCTGTGGCCATGTCCACCTGCTCTGGGCCGGGTCCCACTCCCATTTTTGGCCAGGTGGGTGGGGAGTCCTGAGCCCACGTCCCACTTTTCCCATGCAGGTCACAGCCATTCTGACCCAGCAGAGCTGGGGAAGGTCTCTGGGCCTATGGTGGGCTGGCCCAGAGGTGCCAAGCTTTGGCTTTGGTGAGCCATGGTTCAGGGAGGGGTCTGGGCCTAGCTTTTAGATGGTGAGGCACACGTTGAAGTGCCCTTGCCACCAGGGCTGCCTTGCTGATTCCAGGCCTGGCTGGGCTTGGCACTTAGTTCGTCTGCCTGGCGGTGGCCCTGGCCTCTCCATCTCTGGGCCAGGAGCTCCGGTCGCTGGAGCCACCTGCCTGTGGGCCGTGTGAGGGCTGTGGGGCAGGGGATGGGGGCTGGGCCTGACCCAGATTGCCTGGGTGAATGCCCACTCTGCCCTCCACAGCTGGTCCATCTGGGGTCAGTGCCTTAGTGGTGTCGGGAGAGTCCAGGGTGTAGAGCTCCTGCCTTCCACCTGGCCCTGGAGTCTGCAGAGCTGAGCTTGGGGGAGCTCTAGGATCAAGAGGTGGTGGTGGGGGGCAGGTGAAAGCAAGGTGGGAGCTGAGGATCCCTGACTCGTGGGTGCAGGAGGGGGACTCTTGGAGGTCTCCCCGGTTGTGTCTAGTTTGCTCTGCAGCCTCCCGCTCCATGGTGGGGAGGTCTGGTTGAGGGGACCCTGTGCCTCTGGGGACACATTTGTGGCTAGCCCACTGGGAAGGGCTGGCCTGTGGCATGCTGTGGCCTCTGGGAGCCCTGGGGGTTCCCCTGGGCCTGTGTCTGTGCCCGTGTCTGTGCCCGGTTCCAAGGGCCCCGGGGGTCCCCTTGGGCCTGTGTCTGTGCCCGGTTCCAAGGGCCCTGCTCTGCAAAGATTCCTTGCCAGGGCGAGTCTGCGGGGGCGGCAGGCGGGGCCGGACAGCCACAAGTTTGAGGTTAACCGGGATCTCGCCAGGAATTCTGAGGTTGGGGGCGTGATGCCAGTGGGGGTGCCCCTGGATGGCCACCCCTGAGGGTCGGTGGAGACTCCTCCTGAGGCCTGCTCTTCCACCTGGTGAGGCCCGGCCCAGGAGGGAGCCCCAGAATTGCTTGGAGGCATTTCTCCCAGCTCCACTGAGGCCTCTCCTACCCTTGTCTCTGCCCTGGAGCACCCAGAGATCGTGCTGGCCAGTGGTGGGCAGCATCGTGTATCCTGGGGAAAGCACTCGCGCCCTTGTCCTGGGGGCTCTGGTGCCCCTTCCCCCAGCCTGGCTGTCTTGGCCTAGCTGGGTGGGGGACTGTGGTATCCCCCAGTACCCCAGGCCTCAGGTGGAAGGCAGGATGCTCTGTCGTGCTGGTTGGAAGACAGGCTGGGGGGGGCCAGGGAAGCAGGGACTCTGGGCCCTGGGGGTGGGGCGTCTGTACAGGGGTCAGGGACAACCCTGGCTGATTGGTCATCTCTAGGCCCTGGCCAGGTGAGCAGTAGAGACCTAGGGTGCTTCTGGCGCGTCTGCCCCTGGGGGAGCCAGGCAGGCCCTGTGGTGTGGGGGCTGGGG